GCCTAGCTAAAGCCACACTTGGGGCAGGAGGGCAGATGCCAAGAACACATTTCAAAGGGCACATTCAGTGATGTTGTTTCACCAAGGGCCCCATGTTTGCAAAAGATGCTTTCTAATCGTCCTGTTCAACTTCAAAGTTTCTCAGAAGAGGGCATTGCTGTCTTGAGAAAGAACAGAGTGAAAGGGAATGGAAAGAACTTCTAAAAGCAACAACAACAACAACAACAAAACAGCCCAAGTGTATTGCACAAATCTAAGCGAATTTTGATTCTAGAATTTAGTTTCCCACATTAGCATCCTTCCTGGGTAACCAGAAAAAGGAAAAGCAAGCTTGACCTGGTGAAAAGTAAAGCAAGTATCACTTTAAAGGCAGATTCACATGAAAAAGGAAAACAAAGTCCTTCTGAGACTGCCCCTTTCCATGTGGTAGTTAATGGCAACCTAGGTCTATGTCTTTAGCTTTCTGTTGAGTCATGCACTCTCCTCCTCCTCCACCCCTTAGCTTACAGGGTCAACAAGCCAACTTTGTAAATCACGGGACTGGGTTTGCTTTGTTTGGTCTCAAGCCAGCTTCTTTATTATCTGTGTTGTTATGCACTACGCAGCTCTGTAGACACACCAGATCAAACCAGAGAAGTAAAACCCAGAGATTATTCCCAGACTGTCGGCCAACTGTTTTTTTACCCTGTTGCTTGCTGCTACCACACAAAATAATGGCCTTTTATTCACAAGCCCTTTAAAATAAAAGTCCCGGGGCAGAGGAGGATTTCTGGTTCTGTCAACCACATTGATTCTTCTTTTGCCTCATTTTCCTAAGTGATGCAATAGATGGTCTCTTTCAGAAAGAACTTTCTTTCTTCTCTATCTACTGTCAAAGGCTTTGGAGAGTTTTCTATCAATTCATTCTAACATAGAAGAACTGTGAATGTGTTCTAGTTTCATCTCTGTTGGTAAATACTCTGACCAAAAGCAACTTCGGGACAGTAGCGTTTACTTGGCTTACAATTCCAGGTGACTACTCATCGTGTCAAGGCAGAAGCTCAAAGCCTCTAGTCACGTGACAGTCAGAGTTAAGAGCAGAGAGAAACAAATGGCTTGAATGTGTCTGACTGTTTCTACTCAGCTAGTGTTCTTCAATTCTTACATAGTTCAGGAAACTGCCTAGGGAATGGTGCCGCCCACATAGGCTGCATCCTTTTGAATCAATAAGTAAGACAACCCCCTACAGTCAAACCTGATCTAGATAATTCCCAGGTGATTCTAGGTTGAGTCAAATTGACAGTCAAAGCTAACCAGAACGGAAGGTTTTTATGAAAATTTAGAGGGGCAGTGAGATGGCTTAGGGGGTAGAGGTACTTGCTGCCAAGCCTAATGTTCAATCCTAGATTCCACCTGGTAGAAGGAGAGAACTAATTCCTGCAAGTTATCCTCTGACCTCTACGTGTGCACACTATGGCACCATCTTACCACCCACAAACAAGCATTTCTTTCTCTTTTATTTGATAAAAGTAATTTTTAAATTTTTTTCCCAAGAGATTATTTTTTATTAGTTCAAATTAGAAACAAGCCTGCTTCACATGGCAATCCCTTCTCCCTCTCCCTCTGCTCCCCCCTAATCCCCCACAAGCCCCCCACCTCATCCCCCCTCTGCTCCCCAGGAAGGGTAAGGCCCTCCATGGGGGTTCGCCAAAGTCTGTCATTTCATCCTGGGCAGGGCCTAGGCCCTCCCCCATGTTTCCAGGCTGAGAGAGCATCCCTCCATGTGGGATGGACTCTCAAAGTCCCTTCTTATGCCAGGGATAAATACTGATACACTACCAGGGGCACCATAGAGTGCAGAGGCGTCCTCATTGACACCCACATTCAGGGGTCTGGATCAGTCCTGTGCTGGTCTCCCAGACACTCACCTCAGCAGAGGTCAGGGCTGAGGGGGAAACAAGAGTGAGGTGTTTCCGGACTCAGGGAGATCCTCCCAGTCTGGGAGGGTCCACTCTATGCCAGGTGCCAGCCCAGAGAGATCCAAGGGGTGATGGCAGGAGTCAGGCAGGAGCAGAGGGGACACTCACCTCAGCAGAGGTCAGGGTGGAGGGGGAAGAGACCACGTATTTCTTTTTAAAGTTATATGAAAACCTTATTTAGGGTAAGCGCCTGCAAAAGGTACTGAAAATCAAAATGGAGTCAATTTACAGGGAAGTTCCATGTCACCATGGAAATTATTTGACCCTGAGAAACTAGGACCGAAGCTACAGCAGTCCTAATTTCTCCAACTGGCCTATTCTAGCAGACATGTTAATAAACTTCTTTCCTTTTTCCTCTTTTTCTTTACACACACACAAAAAAAGGGAAATAAACCCTTTAAGAGAGAGAGGTTGCTCTTACCAGGCAAGATCGAACAGTCTAAAGAGATCAGGCCTAGCCACCTTGAGTTAAGAAACTCTATTCCTAGCAGGAGCCCCTTATTGTGATCCTAACTGGTACCTGAGTCCTCCATGCTCTTTTTCAGGTCCAATATGTTGAGCTAAATCACATGATGCAAAACTTCCCACCAGCCACCCGAAACTTAGAAGAGTCTGTTATTTCCTTTGTTCTTGGGATTTACTCTGGGATATCTCAAAGGCCACCTCAGGTGAGTCTCTGAAGAAGCTCTTCTGGCCCCTTCCTTCCATCCCTCTCATGGCAGCTCTCCCTTCTCCTATTTTTTACCCTCATTGAGGAAGTGCTTCTCCAGGTTTGAAAGGGAAGTCTCCTCCCAGTAAGGCCCTGTTTTTTTTTGTTTTTTGTTTTTTTTGTTTTGTTTTGTTTTGTTTTTAATAGACTGTACTATTTGATGTCTAGTAAAACCCACTTCTGAAGGGAACCATGTGTCCTCTTTCAGGATTGACCAACTCAGGAATAGTCTCTATTAGTAGTAGTGTATTTGACCCCATCTGACCTAATATTAATCAGTTAACTATGTTTCTGTTGTTCTGCTTCCTTGCCTCTGCCTCGAATGTGGCTTTGAAATGACAATCTGCTTTTCTTTGTTTCTTGAATCTGCTTTCTTCAGCTTGTTTTTTTTTTCTTTTCTATTTATGAAACCAACCACCCCTTCACCTCCTCTTTCATAGAATGGAGTTCTACTCAATTCTAGAATTAAAAGTGAAGAACTAGGGAGATGGCTTAGTTGTTAAAAACACTTGTTACTCTTCCAAAAGCCCTGAGTTTGGTTCCCAGCACCCACATGGTGGCTCACAATCAACTGTAACTCAAGTTCCAGAGAACCTGACTCATTTTTCTGACTTCCTCAGGCACAAGCACACGTGTGACACACGTAGACACACGCAGGCAAAACATTCATATGCAAAGATAAATAAATAAATATTAAGATATTTCAAGTAACTTGTAACTTTGTCTTCTATGTTTTGCTTCTAGAATTCTTTGGTTTTCAATTATAATGTCTTGGGAAGTCTATGAAATTAGGGAGTTATGGGCAGTAGTCAACTCTGTTGTATTAGGTTCCAGTTTTCATTTTTGTTGTTGCTGTTTTGTTTTGAAACAGGGTCTTGCTATGAAGCCCTGACTAGCCTTGAACTTGCTATGTAGACCAGGCTGGCTTCAAACTCAGAGACCTATCTGCTTCTGCCTTCAAACTGCTGGGACTAAAGGTGTTTAACATTGTGCCCACCTACATTCCAGTTTTCAAAAGCCAGTTGGCATTTTGAATACCACAGGGTTGCCCTATGGTCAAGTGACTCCAGTTGAAGGAATTTAAATAAGCTTCTGCAAATCATGCAGACAGCTACTGTGAAAATGGTCAGAGCTGGAAGACAGCTCTTTCCCATGCTTATTTCATTTTGACTAGAATCTCAAAATACCAAAGAAAACTCTAGGGCTATGCTGGATTTATTTCTCAGCATAAGTTATTCTCAAGAGCAGTTTTGTCAGGGATTTGTGATCTAGAATTCTATGGAGATTTTAAAACATAGCTCCCCCCTTGAACAGAACCAAGTGCTCAAGAACCCATATCAACTGCTTTCTTCAAGGGTTACCTAGGCTAGAAGTGACGCAGCAGGAACCTTCTGGCCTGACAGGCACAACTCTTGGTGAACAAGGATGATGGTGTTCAGAAGGGCACAGAATCAGGCATTTGAACAATGGACCATCTGCTGACACAGCTGTAAACCCAGTAGGAGTGTGGACCAGTGTCTTCTGTCAGTCATAAGTGAAACCTCTTCAATGAAGTTTTTCTATTTTGAAGAAAAATTAGTACTTATCCTAAGTACATTGTCACAAATCACAGATTGTCCTGGTGGTGCACATATGGTTTTTTTTCTTTGGGGGGGTTGTTTTTACAAATGAGCATGGTTGCTATATTTTGTGTTACCAGTGTGGGATTTCAGGAATACAAATCACCGAAGAGAGTTCCTTGTCATTAGATTGGGACTAGGCATGCAGGACTTGGTCAGGGAGGGCACTAAACTCTGGAGGGAGGAAGAAAACACCAGGCTAGTCAGTCAGGCAACGCCTAAGGGTGAGGTCTGTGGGAGATAAGTCAGATCACCAGGGCACAACGATTTAAATATTACTATGCTCTACTGAGTCGCTTGCTAAGAAATGAGTAAATGGGAGTTTTTATTTTATTTAATTTTTATATTTTTTATTTTCTCACACAAAAATTCCACAGCCTTTGGGGCTCACAATTGAAGAGACTCTGGGGGCTATCAGAGGTTAACATAACCTACGCAGCCAATCAGCAGAGTTCACCCCATTTTCTTATCAACCTGCAACACTGGGCCCCTAGAGGTCAACTAGTGGGAAGTGAATTCAGAACCGGAAAATCCAGGCAGCCCAGAGGGGCAGCAAGTCCTTGCTCAAGCAGGCGCGCCCTCCACAAAACCTGGCCCGATTCCAGCTGAGTCTCGGGAGCCAGGGAAGGGCTGGCGTAGAGCCAGGCCCCGCCCAGTGCAAAGGCCCCGCCCCTAGGACCACGCCCCTCCTGGCCCCTCCCCGCGCCCGTGCCCCAGCTGCGAGGCTGGGAACCGGGCTGCTCTGAGCCGCTGCTGCTTTCGCGCAGTCCGCTCCTCCGCTGCAGAGTCGCGCCCTGAGCTCGGTCGACGAGGCTGCACACGCAGCCGGGATCCCACCGCCCGCGACCCCAGCCTTCGTCGCCGCCGCCCGCAGGGCGCCCCAGGCCGCACCATGGTGAAGGTGACGTTCAACTCGGCGCTGGCCCAGAAGGAGGCCAAAAAGGACGAGCCCAAGAGCAGCGAGGAGGCGCTCATCATCCCCCCGGATGCGGTGGCAGTGGATTGCAAGGTCCGGGCTGGGGTCGCGGGCGGGGGTCCCCGCGGAGGGGATGGGTGCCCGAGCGGCCCTCCGCTCCCGGGTACCGTGGTGCGTGTGTAGCGGGCGGGGCAGGGCCTCCGCCCTGGAGACCCCCGCAGGGACAGTTGCACAGGTGTGCGAGCTCCTGCCGCTTTGCACCTGGCTTGGTCGCCCGGGGACCTGCAGGGACTGGCACCGCCACCACCGAGTTTGGCACTTTCTTCCAGTATAAATACTGAGCCTAAAATGGCTGACATCATAACAAGCCTAAACCTCTCTTCTTTCCTACTTTCGTTTCTAGGCTGAACAGCACTTGGACTAAGTCCAGCAACTGTAAGCATTTTAATTTTAAAAGCCTTTTCTTTTACACACTCGCTTGCCTACAAAAGGCCTTCAGTGTTGGCAGGTGAACTTCACCTTGGGGTCTGAAGAGGGGAGAGGACAACAGTATTCTGGGAGTAGTTTCTAGCTGGCGATTTTATTATTGTAATAAATATTCCAGGTGAAAGTAATTGCTATTGTGGCTGTTCCGTGTAACCAACAGCTGACTTTTAAATGTTATCAGCGTCTTTGAGGGGGACCACTGATAAAGTGAAACCTGGAATCTCAAAGTAGGAATTCACTCCGGTCCCTACAAAATTCTCCCTCATTTCACCAAATTCTCCGCTAACACTGAATGAGCATGAGTGAAGCTGGGACTGGATTCACTCTTTTAACTAAGTGGCTTACAATAATGTTCTTTTAAACATAAATATAATTGTCTCCTAAGTTTTTCTCTTCTGCCAGTCTTAGGCTGCAGACATTTGATACCTACCTAACTGTAGATGTTGCTTAATTTTTCATTAATACTTTTCAATACCTATTATCACTTGGGTAGTTTTAGTTTTGACTTAAAAACAATCATTTGTGTCCCTGGTACAAGTAGCAAGGACTTTTTAAAAATGATGTAATGAAAATTACTATTAAGAAACAGGCCAATAATGCCCTGTGTAATTTTTTTTTTTTTAGAATAATGGCAATCTGGGTGGTTTGTACTTGTTTTCTGGAAATGTTCCAGCTAAAAGCAAACATCGGGTTGATTTTTAAAAGACTGCCTTCCCTTGAGATAGGAAGAGTGACCTGGTTCCCTAAAAGGATTAAAGATTCTGGTTTTAGTATTGTCTTCCTGAACCCAGGGCAAACAGTCTTGGTGTTGAAAATGTTTAGAATTCACAGGTAGCAAATTATGGTATCCCCTTGTCAGATACAAACCTTATCTAAAATAGGTCTGTAGTCAAGTACCCAGTCACAACAGCTCCCTGCCAGTGGCCTTGTTTGTGGAGACTTGAGTCTCATCTGGCCCAAACTGGTTTGAACTCCTCATCTTCCTTTATCTTCCTCCCAAGTTACAGGTGTGCACAATCATGCCCAGCTTCAAATATACATTCTTTATGTTATTGTATAGGTATATGATGCTTACATTTTAAAACTATAACTCCTCCCACTCTAAGAAAGTGGCAATGATGTCATTTCTCTGTCCTTTATAATTCCACTGTTGTAAAGGTTTGAAACTCAGAATTCACTTTGCTGAGCAGCTTTGAACCAGACTGTTGACAAGTCTTGTCATTTATGAAGAAGTGGACTTATTTTCAGGCTCTTAGGATTTCTTATATGTTCACCATATTTTTTTTTATTTCAAAGTAACTATAGTTCTATCCTTTGCTTTTATGTCTTAATTTCTCTGATCTCACTGTCCAAGGAAAAATCCTGGGATTAAGCAGTGAGGGTTCGTGTTCCTTTATAGCCAAACAGAAATCACAGCCAAATCGGTTAATACAAAAAATAACTTATTTCTTTTTCCAACTGGAAGCCTTTTCTCAGGGTGGGGGGATCAATATTTGTCTACAATGAAGGCAGGAAGGATAAAGGAAAAGCCTACTTAAGGGCAGACATCAGTGACAGAGCTTCTGATCTCATTTCAGAGCTGCGGAGTGATTACATAATGTTCTGGTGCTCCTTTGGGCTGGACTATGTGGCAACCACCTTGTCTGACCGCCTGGGCTGGGAACAGAATTAGTCTTAGTGTGTTTTGCCTGGGGCATTTCCTTTGGTCAAGTTATGGTAGGAGCAAATTCCTACGGGTTCAGAACTCCGAAAGAAAAGCATTTGAACAGTTTTAACCATGGATCAGCTTTTTTTTTTTTTTTTTTTTTTTTTTTTTTTTTTTTTTTTTTGTGCTTGAAGATTATTACCCCCTCTGGTATCTACTACCCTGTGCCATAAGAATTTCGGTCACTCTTGTCACTCACTGGCTTATGTAATATACATTCTTGTACTTTTACACGGCTCCTGTCTTATGCTGTTTCTTTCCCCGCAGAGAACCTTCTAGAAGCAGCTCTGCTGCTTATGGTTTCAGTCTTGTCTTTGCAGTAGCTGTAATTCCAGCAGCTATTTCTTTTGATTGCACTATTCAACCAGTTTGCATGATTTTTCTTCCACATTTTCCTGTTGACAGTCTTGTCTTCTTCCCAGACCAGTCCTCATGGGCACAAAGCTCTTAGAGGCACAGACACAGCAAAGAATCATAGTATCGTGATTTGTCTGACAAAGGTCAATTTGAAATGATACGCATACACTATGGTACAGGCAGCAGTCCTTGATTTTTGTGCTCATAGCTTCCTTTGAACCTTGGGAAACTTGTGTGTGTGCCAATACCATACTGTTACTGTATCAGAAGTCCCAGATATGTATCCATATAACTGTTTGACTTCGGTTTTTTAAGCTTCAATTTTAGTTTTCCTTTTTTATAAGATGAGAAGATAGAACCAGATGGTCTGCAAGAACTCTTTCAGTTTTAGAATTCTGTGAAGATGCTAGGATTATATAATTGCATTTTTGCAGTAATTGCAATTGCTGTGTGGGGTTTTGTTTTGAGACAGTGTGTCTCATGGCCCAGGCTGGTCTTGAACTTGGTATATAGCTGATGTTGACCTTAAATTCCTGATCCTCTGGTCTCCACTTCCTGGAGTGTTGAGATTGCACTCATGTATCGCCACACCCCGAATAAAATTCAGTTGTTTTAATTGTGTGTGTGTGTGGGGGGAACAACTACCTCCTCTCCCCAACAAGACAATTTTCTTTCTTCCTTTCCAGGGTTAGTTTGTTACATCCCTCCCTGAACTGAAAGAACTAAATGGAAGGGAGGGTTATGCAATAAAGCAGGCTCTCGGAGTGAGCAACAGTTCTTGCTGCAGTAGCTGCTTATGAACTCCCTGTTCTTAATAGCAGCCTTCGGAAAAAACGTGTTTGCTTCATTAGATGGCCTCACACGCTGCTTCGATGCAGTGTTGCAGAGCCAACAAAATGGACAGCATGGGTGCTGGAGTGAAGAATACATTGAGTTGTCACAAAATGGCTGAGTAGATCCTAGTTTATGCTTTCTGATTTTCCTCTATGTCCACAATCAGGACTAATGATTTGATAATTTAGATTTCAGTTTTTGTTGGTGGTTTTGGTGTTTTTTGGCTTGAGGAAGTAGAGGAAGGACATAAAATGCGTGAGTAGACATTCAATGACACGTGTAGATGTATAGGGGGTTTGGGAACTTGGCTCTCTTTAGCCAGAGTGCATCTCATTACCTATTAAGTTTATTATAGAGTAGTAGACTTGACTGTCCTAGAACTCACTGTAAACTGGACCGGCAGAGAAGGTACTGCAGTCCCCCTGCCTCTATCTCTTAGTACTGGGACAAGCATGTGCCATCATGCCTGGCTAGGGACAGTAAAGCATTTACATTCATTAGGTCTTGGCCTCCAGAGAGGATATGGATATCTGAAGGGAGGGTTTTATTCTGAGAGACAGATAAATTGTTTCTGTACATCTCTTCTGGGACACTCTGGTGTTTGAGTGTGGGTGAGGATGCATATTGTCTTTGTTTGGTTGGAGAACAAGTTAGCTGCCAGGGTGATAGTGTTCCCTGGGTAGACAAGGCAGGATATTGTCCTTGGCATAACCATAAACCTCTAAGAACTCATGAAATTCAGCTCTATCACTCAGAGTTCTATGTCAATAGCAGGATTATTTTTTTTAACCAGAAAAATCCCAAACACATTTATGATATAGGTATATTTATTGTGTTCACTGTTCAACTTCCAAGTGTTTATTATGTGTTTCAAAAGCTTGACCTGTGTGTTAATGCCCAGAGAAAAATGTACGAGGCCGTAATCTGAGATATTCAGTTTCATGAACCCATAACCCAGATATTTGAAGTGGCTTCAAAAGCTGCATTCTTTCTCAAAAAGGAGATGCTTTCTGAATTCCTGTTTGGACTAAAGCCTCTTGGATTGCTTTGCACGACACTGTGTTAGTAAAGGTCATCCTGGACAAAGAAATGAGCCAAAATAAGTGTGCTCTCTTTAATGTTTGGCAAGAGTTCCACTCCGTGGTCCTGGGAATTGAACCCAGGGCCTGGTACATGCTTGACGAGGGCATTACACCCCCGCCCTGAGCTATTTCTCCAGCCCTAAATGTGTCACTTTAATTAGAGCCTGGAGACTGACAGGAGTTAAGGACTTTCCCACCAAAGGATTCAGGCCATAGCTACTACCTGTTAAGATAAGGGACTTCACGCTTCTCAGTGCAAAGGTGATGATTATCTGAACGTCTCAGAAAATGGTTGACACTGGGGCCTCTTGCCATGAGGTCTGTTTCTGAGTAAAGCTAGGTATCCCCGACTCTCACTCTGCTTCACAGTGGCAGTCTTTTACAGGATAGACAGTCAGGATAAACAGCCCAAGGGTCAAGGTTTACAATTATGTGTCAAAGTGACCCTAAGGACATCATTTTAAAGCTTTCCACTTAACAAAATGAATCTCATTACTTGGTGTGCTAACTTTAAAAAGAACTAACTAAAACAGAACTAAACTGTGTGGGGCGGGGTGGGGGGGGTGGCTAGGCAGATGACCCTGTCTACTTACTGTGGTTTTTCTCATCCTTCTGTATTTGGACCCCAT